AGTCGGTCAAGGTTTATCGGCGACACAACATAAAGTCAACCCCCTCCTTTCTGATTTCATGCCTGGACTCCACTTGTGTGGTCAAATCTCCTCTAGTGAAAACTAGCCTTCAGCATGTGTGAATCGTGTCTCAAAGAAAAAATAAAAAATAAAAAAAGGAACAAAAGACTTTTTGGTATATCACTATGCCTCTGGTGGGAGTCGAACCCACATCGCCTCCTGACTTGTACAAACTAAGGTCTTGCCGAGCTATAATTGGGAGGCGGTCTCCAAGACCCACAAAGTCGACGCTTGATTGGAGGATTCATTGGATTGGGCGCAGGACTTTAGATACACGGACGCGCGGAAGTACACAGATACAGCAAAATACACTCCAATTCACTAAGCCCTACTCAAGCCGACCCCGACCCGACGTGCATCTTCTCCTTCAGCCGTTGGATCAACTTCGGCTTCTTGCTCTTCTTAGGCTTCTGCTGCCCCTCTCCCTCTACCTGCTCGTCTTCGCCCTCCTCGCCCGCCTCATCGGCGCTCCCGCTACTATTCGCGCCCTCGTCGTCCGCGTACTGACTTTGCGGGTCCGCAGGCGGTGCCGAAGGACGCGGGACAGACGACGTGGCCGCAGCCGACCCCGGTAAACGGGGATGGTAGGTGCTGTCGTCCCCCGAGGGCGCAGCGAAGTCGCCTGCCGGTACCGCGTCCGCGCCTACGCCTGTATGGACATTACCCGCGCGGAGCGGCTCCAGCCTCGTCTCGTCCGCCCCTCCACCCGCGCCGCCCCCCATATACGCAGGCGGCGCCGGCCACGACGCAAGGGCCGACACCGACCCGGGTGTAGCCAAACTCTCCGTCTCCGTGCTGGCAGCGTACCCGCTGTCGCCGCCTGTGCTCGCCAGGGAGGGCGTGGACGCATCTACGGAGGCGGCTGGGACGGCGTGCGGTGTGGGTGTGGGGTGCGGGAAGTGCGCGCGGTGCGTCGGGAGTGCGGTTACGTGCGGGGCGGGTGCGGCGCTGGGGGACGAGACGCCGGGGTGGGACGGGATCAGGCCTGGAGTGGATTGTGGCGCATCGGGGGACGAGAGGGGCACGGGGCTCTCCGTGAGCGGGGGCGTGGCCGCGACGCCCGGGTGGGAGGGGATGAGGCCCGAGGTGGGCTTCGGAATCGCGGGGGGAGAAGGGGGAAGCGACGCCTGGGTGGGACGGAATAAGGCCCGACGTCGGGCGCGGTGTCGAGGTAGACGCAGGTGACGATACAGACACAGGTGGGGACACGGGGGCGACGCCGGACAGAGAAGACGCGTGGCCGGTGTGCACGGTCGTGCTGAGTGCAGTCGAATCGGTTGTTGCGGAGGAGTCGAGTCGGTCGTTAGGGGGCGTCGCAGAGTGCGCATTGGACGCAGCGCGATACGGCTCCGGCGCGGATTCGGTGTATGGGATATTTGTGGCGTTGCCGAGGTCGACGCCGTCTTGGCGCCCCAGCGTCGATAGGGACGAAGACGAAGGTGGGAGGGCGGGGAGAGGATGATTCCGAACCCGAGGGTGGGATTCCTGGTGTGGAACTCAGCGTGGATTCGGAGGACGCTGCTGCTACATGTCGCACAAAAAATCAGGTCGGTCAGTGAATATAACGATATGGATGGAAACTCACGCAGATACGCCGCAAGTCCTGGCGGTAGGTACGCCGTCGCAGCGGCCAGAGTGGCCTGCGCGGTCGCGATGATGCCGCCATCTTCCTGCGATGGTTTGCTCCCCGCATTCTGAGATGCATCGTCGCTACTCGTAGCATTCACAGCATCGTTATCGGGCTCCAAATGGGCCGGAAAGCCACCCGGGATGTCAGGGCCAGGTGTCCCGACGGGCGTGCGCGTAACGTGGTTCCCTAGCAGATCAGTCATATTTTCTGCCCATTCGCTGGAGGGCGTCTGTGGGAGGGTGCCGGAGGGGATGGTGGGGACCATGTTGGGCGGGGAGGCGTGGATTGTGGCCATTGTGAGTCGAATTCAAGAGTCAAGACCAGAACAGGAATCCAAGGAGCAAGAAGATCGAGAAAGATTCAAGCAAGTTTTGCGGTCCGGTTAAAGACAAGGTCGTATAGAACGTCGTATTGGGCGGCAGTTTGAAGTCGAAAGCCGCGTTTTATACGCTCCCGGCAGTGGAGTACGAGACATGACGTTGTGATGACCGTAGAGCCACAAATGATCGGCCGGGGATTGCCGATCACTCTTGTTTTCAACTTCCTTCCTGCAAGTTTCTGTGCTCCTCTTGCTCAAGCCACAGCGCGGTGCATTATTGGTCGACTGAGATCACTATCTCGCAGGCTTGTCCCACCGTCGCCCAGCGAGCTTCAAGATTGACTTCAGCTTCATTGAAGTGAGTCACGCAAGTTCATCCCAGTTCTGCGACAGCGATGCTCAGTCTCCTCCACAGGCTACAATCTGGACGTGGTGCACGGTGCACGCCAGCCATTAATACGGCTGTTTGCACCATCGCGTGAACAGCTGGACAGCAGATCTGGGTTCGACTCCCACCGTCCGGGATGCACTGGTCGACTCGAGCAAGAAATTCTTTTAGCTTCGTTTCTCTTTTAACAGAAAGCTTGAACACATACGGCTGTCTTCTTCTTCTCTTTTCTTCCTGCCTGAACTTGATCCAAAGCGCGACTATCAATACAAGTATCGTTTAAAACTCCCCAAAATCAATCAGGTAGCCGATTCTCTCTTACTAGGTCACGCTCACAGCCCATACTGTACCCTCGGACGCAGTGCACGGCGCACACCCGCTCGCGTTGCCAGAAGCCTGCATAATTTCGACGCGGGAACTCTGGGTTCGACTCCCGGCGTCCGAAATACATAAGTTTCCTGGATGTAACTTTTTCTCGATGTCTTGAAACTCGCCTCCATCCATTTTTTGGCTTCGTTTTTGCCGTATGCGTCTCCTTCTCCTCTTGCCCCCGGCTGATCGAACTTGCAGGACGTCTCAGTCAGGTGAAGCAATGGTTTGTCAATTTTTTTTGGTTGCCTCGCTCATTTTGCCCCAGTAACCTCTTGTTACACCAGTACCTAGCCAGGTACGAACCCTGACAAGGAAACTCGGACGTGGTGCATGGGGCACGCCCGCTTGCAATTACATGTCAGCGCTGGTTAGCCCTCGAAAGATTTCGAAGCGGGAACTCTGGGTTCGACCCCCAGCGTCCGAATAACAGTTCTGGAGGTCATTTTGCTCGATGCCCTGAAGCTTGCCGCGATCTTTTTCGTTTGCTTCAAGTCCGCCTGTATACATCTTTCTCTCTATTTTCCCCCCACTGGATAATTCATGTTGTTTTCGCAGGACGTGGGGGGAAGCAGTTGGTTTCCGTTCGCCTGACTCAGTTTTGGCTGGCCGACTCGGATCAATTTGTCTACGACAATACCTAGCCAGATCCACAATATGAAGAGGAACATCGGACGTGTTGGGCGGTGCACGCTCATTTGGAATTGCACTCTCGGTCACAACTTCCGTGGAAGAACTGGGCTCGACCCCAGCGTCCGAAATACAAGTCCCCCCAAGATGTTTTTTGCTCGATAGCTTGAAACTTGCCTCAATCCTCTTTCGGCCTCACCCCTGCTGTATGGGTCTCTCTCGGCTCTTGCCTCCGACTGATCGTGCTCACAGGACACTCGTTTGGGTGAAGTGGTTGGTTTTGTTTTCCTCAATCAATTTGGCTGGCTGATATCTTGCTCAAGCGAGCCGTCTGACGAGGCAGGCACACAACCTTGAGAGGAGGTGCACCGCGTACACCCACTTGTATCGCGTAGAATAACAGCTTTTTTGTGGGAGTTATGGGTTACCGTTTGATTCCCTGCTGGCTTTTTCCTCGATGCCGTCGCCGATCTTTTCTTTCACTTCTTTGTATGCACTTCGACTGGTTGTGTTTGCAGGACATCTCAATTGACAATCAAGTGAAGCTCTGTTTCACTGACCTTAAAAGTTAAGCTCCGGCGTAGAGGCCATATACATGTCATTCTAGAGCATTCTACACAATTCCGATGTCGGCTTCTTTTTTCTCGATGCTTTGAAGTTTGCAATCGTTTTCGTTCAGTTCTCATGCGCCGTTCTACCCTCCCGCCCCAACAGATCGTCTTCACAGAACGCATTCGCGGCAGTGAAACTATCACTGCAAGTTCGATCACTTTGATTCGTTCTCAAGTCCCTGAAAATCAAATGCAGCTCATTCTCTTGTACTAGGGCCCTCTCGATTCCTAGCGTTCGAAATGGAGGCAATTCAGCCTTGATTTTTCCTCGATGTCTTGAATTCTTTTCGTTCACTTCAAGTTCGCCCGCATGCATCTTTCTATTTTCTCCCCTGACTGAGTACTTAATTCAAGTTGTGTTCGCAGGTTCGCAGGACGTCTCATTCCAGCGTCCGAAATGATTGTTCTCTCCAACGCTTTTTTTGCTCGATAGCTTGAAACTTGCCTCAATCCTTTTTTTCCTGGCTTCACTTTTGCTGTATGCGTCTCTTCTGCTTACCCCCGGCAGATCGTACTTGCACGACGTCTCAATCGGGAAGTGGTTGGTTTTCGGTTTGCCCCATTCAATTTTGGCCCCAGTAGCGTCGGGTTTACACCAGTACTCGGCAAGGTACACAAATATGAAGCGGGACCTCGGATGTGGTGCGCAGCGCACACCCACTTGCATTTTATTGGGAATACCTTGAACATCTCCGTGGGAGGTCTGGTTCGACTCCCAGCGTCCGAAATAGGTCGTTGGAATTTGGATATTTTTTTTCTGGCTCAGCGCCAACTCAGTGCCGCTGAAGTTGACAAGCATTTTCGTTCAGTTCTCATGCATGCATCGCTCTCTATGCTCTTGCCTCCAACCAAGCGATTCTTGTGTCGCAGCTGCCAGCATCTCAATCGGGTGAAGTGGTTGGTTTTCGATTTGCCTCGCTCAATTTTGGCCCAATAGCGTATGGTTTACACCAGTATTTAGCAAGGCACGTGCACACAATATGAAGAGGAACATCGGACGTGGTGCATGGTGCACGCCACTTGAGAGTGTTTGATATTTGAATTCGGAGAATTTCTGTGAAAGATCTGGGTTCGACTCCCAGCGTCCGAAATATGAGAGCCGTAACCCTAAACATTAGAATGTGACACACGGATGTAGCCAGGTAAATTGGACCGTAAATCCACGACTCCAGCCGTCTGCTGGCCAGGACAACTCCGCGGGCCTGGCACTTTTGATAGCTTTTGATGTTGATGGTAGCAAATATGCGGATTTCGTTGTTGATGCGACCCATTGACCCTGGCCCTTGCTCCTGTAGTACCGGTAAAAAGGTACACGCCACTTCCCGTCACGTCCACGCCGCGCTACCTGCCTTTTCCCCCGCTCCCCGCATGTCATGTGGCGCATTTTTGCGTACGCTGTGCCGCCCACCCAAGGGAGAACAAATCCGCGAGATTCACACTATACCTCGAAGTTTTTTTTTCAGCGAAATCCGGGACCCCTCCCCCCCCCCCCAGAAAAGGGAATTCCCATTTTAGGACGTGATCCGAGCTTTCCCACACAACCGGCAAGTAGCGATCTGACTTGGAAAGCCCTGTGTGCCGCCACCACTTGACGGATTCCTTCCAAAAAAATATTCCGGGGTTCTTAACATCATTCTACACCTCTCTTAATTTTTTCAAGGTATGTTTCCCTTTTGAGATGAGACATATAACTCAAGTACCTGTATCTACCGCCTCTTTTTGGTCCTCTCACACGAGTTGCAAACCCCGTTCCGACGCCACTCCTCTGCAGCTGCGCAGTCTATATGGAACTAGAGGACTATCAGTAAAGGTCGAAATCAGAACAAGCCACGTACCCAAATCGTCTCGCACCCGGCCCGAATGCACTTAACTGCATCCGACTCGCGCTGGTCATTCGTAACTTCGTTCCCGCAAATGCATTCGACTTCGGCAGCTTTCCTCTTGGTCCTGGGACGCAGGGCTGAAAGCTCCGGAGTTGAGGTAGCTGGTGAGTTTACTGCCACCGCATCTGGACTGTTGCTGATTGGTGAAGGTGCCGGAGACGTTGGGGAGGTATACACAGATAGATTGTGTTCAATTTGTGGCGCAGTAACGCGCATGATCTCCCTGTCGACATCGTCATCTTCCAGAGGTCGCAGTTCAGGAGTTGGCGATGCAGGCACGGATCGGTAGGGTTCAATCTGCGGGTGCGTCAAGTTCATCTTCCTGTCGACATTGTGACTTTCCAGAGCTTGCAGGCCAAGACGAGACACGCTCTCCTCGTCAAAATATTCAAGGCTACCATCCGAGTCCACGTCGTCCCAGACTTCCAGTGCGTCGTCGGCTTCCTGTTTAATTTTGCGAACGTCAATGGAATCGTCATAGGTGGAGTAACTGTCAGAGTCGGAGTCCTGAACAATTTGACGATGCGCACGACGTCCAGGGGCGCGCGGGACATCGTCGAGATTTTCTTGGAAGAAACTGTCGCCTTCAACGGGTGTTGGGTCCTCCTCCTCCAGTTGTCTGTTTTACACGGAGCTGTGTCAGTTGTAAATTTATGTACATATTAAATTACTCACCGCCACGCCATTGTCGACCGGTGGGCATCGGAAATCCGAAGCTGCGGATTCATCTTTTGCTTTTTCATCCTGCGGACTGATGGATAAACCTGGCGGTTGTTCCAAACAACCTTCATCCTTTCGCGCTCCAGTTCCGCCATCTGGTAAACGGCCGGAATATTTGAGAGGGACTTCAGAGCATGATAGGAGTTGTAATGCGCAGTGAGGTTGTACGTCCACAGAACAACCCCACATTGCAATGGGCACTCAATGAGATGATTACTGCACGGACTCTTCTCCGAGGACTTCATCGCTGCGGACATTTGGAAGTTGAGCGGGTTGAGACAGGTAGAGCTTTTCCAATCGATCTGGCGAGCGGCCGCCGTACCAGAACGCTTTTGAAAGCCAAACGGGCTCCGTTGTGCTCCAAGACACGCTGATAATTGGTTTTTTGGATTGGGACGGACGGATAGCACTTGGTGCATTCAAATGGGGACTGCGGCGACCGAGGGCCAAATTCGCCACGCCCATTGCCTTCGAGCGTTGGGGACGCGATATGAAAGCACGCTTTCCCTTCAAAACAACTTAGATTGCGAGAAAAAAATAGAACAGTGCAGTAACTTACCTTTGCATCGGTAGGGAAACGTCTCCGACTGGCCGATCTCAGGAATAGCGTTGTAATGAGCGAGATAGCCATCAATATTGGCCGCGACCGTGATTAGAACGTCGCTCGAGAAAAGGTAGGTGGGCTTTCCAGGCACTTGATTCGAGACGGTGGGGTTAAGCGGATGAACTAAATGGCCAGGGACGTTGTGTATGGTTCGAGACTCGAAGCCAAGCGACCACTTCCAGTCGTATTTATCCCCGGGCTCGTCGCCGGAATTGACTGGAGCGAGGTGAAAGATCTGATACGAGATTTTGGTGCCCCGGTCAGGTAAGAGTTCAAGGACAATTGATTCCATGGGACGCGAGCCCAGGATTATTGTGTTAACTTGCCCCACTGCGAGGAAACACTCCCCATCGCATCGAACGATCGTGGCGACTGGATTTCCGATTCGAAGAGATGGCGCACCGGTGGGGTTGTCGAATGCAATGTGGTGAGGCACGGCCTCGTTCGCAAAAGCAGGAATTCCGGCCACACGCTTCGTTCGATCGGTCGAGAGGCGTGGCGAGCGGTGCTGCATAAGATCCTTCAGAATGCTCGCCTTCGAGACCTGCTTCCCGTCGACGAGGACGTGAGGGCTGTGCTTGCAGGTCGGCGACTCGTGAATTGCGAGGGTGTCCTCGAAATCCTCGACGTTATCGTCTGCCGGGAGTTCCATGGACTCCGGATCTGCGGCAGGCCCAACTTTGGGTAAGGCGATATCAGCGACATCGGTAGATTTGGAAGCCGCTTGGGATAGCAGCTCCGGGTCAACCTCGAAAGCGCTGTCCAGATCGGCTCTCCCAACAAGCAGCTCCCCGAATGGCGATAGGATATCAAAGCCCGGGATGCGTGCACACTTCTGGAGCTGCTCACGGGCCGTCGCAACGATCTCTTCCGCCTTTAATCTGCCCGCAAGCCAGCACGTGTGGGGGACAACGTCGGCGACACGAAGATCACCAATCCACGATGCCGGCGAAAACATGATCCGCCTTGCTAGACACGTCCCCCCGCTCGTTAATAACAGCGGGGGAGTTTCAGCCGGCGCGGTCCGCGATCCCAGTGAGGCTTGAGACCCAAAATGATGTTAACTTCGGTCAAATTCGATGCGCGGCTCGCAAATTGCAAGATATCGAAGTTGGAGTCGGTCCCCACCGCGGTACGAATCAAGCCAAAGAGTTTCTCCAGTCGGTCCGTGCCCAACAGAATCAGGAAGAACTCGGAGTCGGGGATGTCGATCTTGGCTTTCGCCACGCAAAAAAAAGGCATTCTTGATCATCAACATGATGTTCACAAATGTCTGATTCGCCATGAAGTCGGTACCAGCGCCATCGGTGGTGAAAAGAACAATGAGAAGGTGGGCCGCAGTACTGAGGTGAGTGAGCTGTTCACGGAGCGAGAGTTTGAGGTAGATATAGGGCATCACGAGATGATATGCAAGCTTTCCGAAGGTCTCAAGGGCGGCGCGTGCGAGAATGTACGGCGGGGAGGCGTTTGGTGGCGCATCCGGAAGTGTCCAGATCTCCTTGAGTAACGAATAGGTAAGATCGACGTCCTGCCGGTCATTGGGGTTGAGTAGGGCATGGATACGCTCCTCGGTGAGCCCAACATCGCGCAAGTGCTGTTTAATTACCGCAGGTACGATCTCGAAGCCGAGTATGTTTGTCCCCATTCGGCGCATGAGGAGAGACCGCAGTGCTTTAATGACGTGGCGATAGTCCTTGTCCGGTGTGATATCATCTGGTCCCACCTGCAGATTCATGAACTGGAGCGGTTTGAGAAGCGGATAAATGGGGGATGAAGGAGCGAGCGAATGTTTCATGAATTCGAGAGCCAAGGCAAGTCCACGCGTCGCCTCGCCGTCAGAGCCAACACTGACGTCTCGGTAGGTGATATTGCCGTGAACTTTCCGACTCTGGATGGCCTCGAGTAATTTGCGCAAGAGATTGGCGTGCTGGCGACCCTTCTCTGCTTTGCAAGTGCCGGAAATACAGATTGGTCGTGGATTGTACATTCGGGGGTCGCGACTGAGGGCTCCCAGCGCGACGACAGTTGCCTGCAGTAATTTTAGACATGAGAAGTTCAGTACGCTTCAGTATTGATCCCTTTACTCACCTCGCTGGCTAAATGAACTTGATTGGTATTGAGTTGTTGAAAGAATGTTGTTGCATCGTCCAGATGACAAAATTCGAGCCCTGCCTTCTCGCTGTGCTCTCGGCATGCGCCAAGAATCATGTTTGTCTTGTTGTCCCAACGCGCGCGCTTTTCAACCGCGATTTCATCCAGCATCAACACCCGGTGAACAATACGGGGAGGACCGGTTGGTATCGCTTCACCTGCAGTGTACGCATCGATATTTGCCTCTATTTCTTGAATCGTAGGCATTGCAGGCGATGCCCGAAGCGGTTGAATGATGGAATGAGCTCGTAGGGTGGTTAAGCCAGGAAGACCAAGAGCGCGATGAAGGAGATCGGCTAAACGAGCGCCGCCGAGTCGCAGGACACAAAGGCCAACCATGTAGTCATCCGGCGTGAAGCCCTTGGGATTGTACTTCGGACCTTCGCGGTGGACATCAACACAGGCGCGATAGAACCGATCGAGCATCGCGCTGATACTCTCGCCGTTTTTGAGGCCTACACGGATGAGCTGTGAGATACGGCGCTCATCGCTTGTTGCAATGGCCATCATGAGCTGCTTGTGGAGATCGAGCTCCGCAATTTTACCCGCAAGTATGCGCGTGTCGTTGAGCTTCGTGAGTCGCATCGCGCGAAGTTGATCATTTTTCTTCCTGACCCGCCGAATAAGGCCGCCGAAAGGGAAAAACATGAGCGGGGTGTTCTCGTTGATACCATTGGTGATTCGTTCCCGAATACCGTCAAGGAAATCATCGCGTCGGTCCAGTTCATCGCA